ATATATGTTTTGTGACTTTTAGATGACTACATCATGCGAGACGTTTATGGCACCAACCGTCAAACCACTGTAGTAAGTTGGCTACAGATCTTGTTTCCAAAGACAAATTCTTTAGGCCCCTCCAAAAATTTCTGGTGTCTGATCAGCGTGTGCGTTGCTGTAGACCTGCACATCGGCAAAATAAAAACATTTTGATTTATATAAAATGATGTGCAAAAGCTGCCAAATTTGTGTAATTGACTGGAATCCTGCTACTGCATGATTCTAATATGTTTTGATGGGGTACAGCTGAGTAATATGTACATTTTGTTTAAGTACTTTTTCACATGATGTCATGTCTGTATTATACATTTGCATCTGGGAACCAGACAAACAAGGTGGTCTTGTGTCCTGTGAACATGCACAAGATGAAAATGCTTTTAAACTGTAAAAATGCGGGGGCCGGTCAATTTTAGTGTTGGTAGCAGCCGGGGTTACCTGCGCATGCAGTCGCGATGGACATTGCGCGTTATCATACATCATTTCCAGAAAAAAAAGTGAGGGATTAAAAAAAAACTTGCATCGCTGCACCACTTTTGGAGGCAGCTCCTGACCAGAAACCGGAGATTTTTGGGGGCTTTACTAACAAAATGCACCCTTTTCTTCAAGCTGTTGTCAGAGAGACAAGGGTGTTAAAAAATGCTCCATTTCATTCAGTTTCAGACACACTTTATGCCCTCCTGTATGGGACGAGAATGCTAAATGGAGCTCTTTCTCAGTTCTTTGGGCATTTCTAAATCATATTTTTTGCATCGGCAAAATGTTTCCGTAACTGTTTGTGAAAAATGTTAACTATTGTAAGTTCAAAGTTCGATTCCTCCACAATATTTATAACTTGTTTATTAATTTCTAACCTTCACCTCAGTCACAGGTTTCTGTGTTAAGTCTTGAGCCTGATTTCCATATGGATGTAACGAACGCCGAAAAAGACACTGTGTGACATCACTCCACCCAAAAAATTAAACAAAATGGCATCAAAAACTCGGAAGATTTTGTATAAAGTGGCTTTTTTAGGTGGTAATGTTACTTCTTGAAGCCAAACTGATGCTCCAGTTTGATGTAATTTGTTAGTGGTCAGCTTTTTCCGTTTGACATGTTTCCATATGTCTGCGTTGCAGTTTGTATCTTGATTACGTTGCTCTGTGCATTTCTTACGTCGGTATGGAAAACAGGCTTAAGTGATTCATTTGCCGTAATGATGTATATATATCTATACAGAAGATCAAACTTTAGGCAGAGTTCCAGAAAGCCACCTGGTCTGATGCCAACAGTTTTTGCTACATTTATATTTTTCTTTATATTCCTCTATTTGCCTACATAATGCCTTGGATGTCAAATCAGTCTTGCATGCCTCACACCGAGAAGAAATTTGCCAGCCTGTTTATATCTTCAGTTTATAGAGGTATGCCCAAAGTCAAGATAATCTCAGTGATGTGCAATTTTTGTAATGAGATTTTTATCAAGTACATGTAATTTTAGTATAATTACAGGATTGTGGATTTTTTTAAATTGGTTTTGTCGATCTGTGGCTAAATGCAAGAAGGTGTTGATATTTGAAGAGAAATTTGGAAATAACCAGGGGGTTTGGGCATTGAAGTTGCAAAATGTTAGCATCACATTTGTAACTAAAATGTGTGCATGGTGAATGAATGTAAAAATTACATTGATGAATGCAAATGACTGTGCGTTACGACTGTCTACCCTTTTCTTCCCAAGAAACATACGAATTATGCATCATTGCCATGAAACAAAAAATCTCCCGTCGGGTTTCAGATTTAGGTTTTTAGTTTCTTTTTTTGGTTACCAAACTTTGAGAATTATGTCAAGAAAGCCTGTTCATGCAATTGGCTTGACTGTAAATTGTTATTTTACAGAGACAAACACTGCTGCATTAATTACTAGCAACTGACAAGGGTCTTTATTTCATCTTGGCGCGGCGATGGTTTTCAGTCTCTGTGGGAGATAATTGTATATATCTTCGCCAATTGCTAAAACTAGAAGCGACATACAAAGTTTTATAAGCAGCAGAAGTAATGCTGGATTAATGCTGGAATTACTTCAATTAAAGTTGAATTTAGCTGCTCAAAAATTGGAATACCTGTTGTGACCTCTTAAATCTTAAATTTGTGTTCGCATTTGCTCAAAGTGTGGAACAACTCTTGGAATGTAATTCTCAAGGTATTTGTTTTTAAAGAACTGCTATAAAGATGGCCTTAACTTTTGCAGGAAAAGTCTCCATTTTATCCTAAACGTTCTGGTAAATGTGCGACGTGGTACCTCAGCCGCAATTTCAACACAGATATTAGTAGTACTAATGTACAACATTTGCTTCAAGGCTACTTTTAACAAGCACAGTACCAATAATAAAAATTTGTAACGAGACTTCATTTCAAAAAAATAAAATGCAATTCGATGTCATTGTCTTTAACAAATTATACAGAGATTCAGCACTTGCAAATATAGATTACTGAAGAACAAAAATCATCGGTTAATAGAGTGTGGGACTTGTGCAGTCATGTCGCACAGAATTTGATTGGAATTTGATCAGGCATTAGTTCTGTGTGCATAAGGATGCAGAACACGTACAAGTAATTGAAAAAAGTTTAAATTTGGAGGAAAACCATGTATCTTGAAAAATGCTGAGTGATATGCCCAAATACTTGGAAAACCCCATCGGAGAGCAAGAAGACCCTAAATGACCCCATAAACAGTTTGAGTTGGTTCTTTGAAATGTAAGGTCAACTTGTACCACAATGAATGCACTAAGATCTCCAACCAAAACTTACGTAAACTCTACACTTAAAATCAGTGTACCGCATACCAAATTAAACAAAACAGTTCTAGTGTGATTGAAATAACATCTGAATCTGCTTTGTTTCAAATTGTAACACATGAGATTGATTATCCATTGGCATTAATAACTCTCAAGTTAGGAGTGCACTTCTTATTTGAAGGCAACATTGATAGATAAGTGGCATGTTTTTAAATTCAATATTGGGAAAAATGTCTTGAGCCTTGATACTCCCAACAACAATATTAGACTTAAATATGCACAACATCTGTAATATTTGTTCTCTACAAGTCCCCTCTTAACACTGAATACTGCACAGAACAAATCCTATCCTGATCAAGTTGGTTGCCAACATTATCCCAAGCAAAAGCAAGGATTATGGCACAATGACAATAGCAATGCAATATATCTTTATAGACAAATGTTACTAATCTACTTCCTGAATATTTAGTACACAGATGCATCATCTATCACACTGGCGGCAGTCCAGCACTACATCACAAATAATGACATGACACTCCGATGACAGGTCCAACCTTTGATCATTCCATCCCCTAGCTTCAATTGTTTAAACACCAGTGTTTTTTTTCATTTTACGGTGGCAATTCAACATAGTACAGTATCTTATATCTGAAATCTGAATTTCTGTTAACATCCCCTGGCAAAGCAAGGTGATTTACGACTTATCTCTCATTCCAAGCCAAGACAACAGAGATTAACATCTTAAAAAGTAAACCAAACACATTATATATTTCTTTCTACTGACGAGCACAGGTTCCTTGACCAATTAAACAGCCAAACTAGACAGTGCTGACTGGCCAGTTAAAATCCAGCGCAGTACCAAGCACGTCGACAAATACCACCACAGAAAATTTTGGCGTTGCAAAAATGTAATTTGTTCATTACCATTCATCTCATGCAGAACAGTCAAATCTGGCAGAATGGAATCCCAAGTTGCCACTGTCCAGAAGCCACCAAAACACCCCACCAAATCCACATTGGTACATACCAGAGTGTCATCTCCATTCAACTTTTTAAGTCTATGTACATATACATCAGCATTGGAAGAATGTTAACACATTCAAACACGTTTCTTTACATACCTTAAGTCAAAATATAAATCTTATTTTTCAACTGATAACAAGCTTTGTTAATCACATTTCGTGATTCTATACTTTTAATGCACGAGACACAAAAAAAGCTTTGAAACACATTAACCCTAACCCCCAGGGGGTATGTAAAATCGTATTGAAATTGAAGGATTTGGGACTGTTCGGGTCAATCTTATTCACGGAAGAATAAATGCATCATTTGGATATGGGGATTATCTGAGTAATTTCCACCCATGTCATGTCCATGTTCATTGAGAGGTGAAATAAGTTGCAAATCAGCCAAGTATTCTCTCTGGCATGCCAGAAAAGACGAAGTTTCCTCGGGTTTATAACGGCAGCATTTTGTCATGAATGAGTGCAAAGGCACACCTGAATCAATGTTTAAGTGATCATACTTTTTAAAAAATCAGTTTCCAAAGAGTGAAAAAAATACACTCTTTATGACCACCCCTGAAAGACAACAAAAGACTACACTATAAAGAAAAGTGCACACACAGAATTGCAACCCCATTCCATTTGCAAATTCATGAAAAATGAGAAAAAAAAAACAACTTCTGAAATAAAAGAGTTCAGTTCTTGCTTAAAACAGACACATGCACACAAGAGTTGTTGGTTTGAGCTTTGAGTTTGGTGCGCATTTGGTTGGAAATTGGTACTGTACACTCCATCCCATGTGAAGGCAGAAACCAAAGTGTGTACACGACACGGCTCATGTAATGCAATCCGCAGAGTTCACATTTCACGTTTAAGTAGTCACAATATCTGAAGGCCTACAACAAACCATTTCTTCATTAAAAAAAGAAATATTTTGTGTTTTTTGGGAAACCAATTCTGCAACAAAGTGACAGTGGTCTCCAGTAGGTTTCCTTTGGAAACTTGCGACACACGTAACCACAAAATAATTAGTAAAGCTGTCAAAAAGGATGACGTCAATGGTAAGTATCTTGAGAGTAGCTTGTCATCATGGAGATATTCAAGCAAGGAGTGGAAGGTTTTTCTCTTCAAAGCCAGTTCCTCATAATTTTGGGAGCTTTTCTCAAGCTGAGGAACAATTGGATTACAGCGAATTATAGAGACTGCAGAAATTTCAGTTCTAAAATGAATTCCATACTTGGCACGTATTTCTGCACCACAGTATGAACAGGGGTTAGTGGATTACTGCTTTGCTAGTTCTACTAGGTGTCAATTATCCTGATTCAATGAGACTCTCACTGGCCCCCATGAATAATGTATCCTGACGGCTGTGTGGAATTCCCTCCTTATTTCCCTGGTTCCCCGCTGTCCCCAGCCTGGTAACCACCCAGGTCTTCCTTGCCCACCAGGCCGCTCATGTCCTCGCGTTGGTCCTCGTCATGCCCGGACGGCGTGATGTAGACATAGAAGTAGGCCATGATGGCAAATATGATCACAATCACCCCCATGAGACCGGCAAAAAGGAAGAACTCCATCGCCTGTCCCATGAAAACAAAAAACAAAACAAAAGAAATTAGGTCAAAAGTGTTTTATCAAACGACACAAATTGGGAAATGATTTTACGGCAAGGTACTTTTTGTCGCAACATTTTCGAAACTGTGAATTCTGTGACAAAATACATCAATGAACAATCACTTTCGTTTAGCCTTTCATACAGTCAATCTAAAAGCACATTTTCTGCAAAAAATGGAGTTTTTTGACGCCATTTTGTTTCAATTTTTGGGTGGAATGATGTCATGCACTTTGTTTCTTCTGTTTATGTCTGCATCTCCACGTCAAACCTCTAAAAAGGGCAGTTTCATTTAATCATTTGGGACAATCTTTAAACGGATTTGCAACTTTTGGGGTTTACATATTTAACCTGTAAACGTCCCACCCTATATACAAATTACTTGCTTACCTGGCTCTCCACAAACTTGACCTCAGCTACGATGATGACGATGAGGTTACCAAAGGCCACTGTGAGTAGCCAGGCTGCCTGGACGCATGACTTCAGGCTAGCTGGTGCCTGAGGGAGGAGATCATTGAAAGACTAAGGGGCCTGTTTTCACCAGAAATGTATATTCAGCGTAAACCCCCTAGTATGCATGGGTATAAATCCTGGGGGAGGAGGGCACAGGGGAACACTTGACTCGGGGGTGAACCGTTTCTTCCCCCCCCCAAAAAAAAACCTTTGGAAACTTTAAACTAACCTTAGAACACAAAGGCCAAGAAAGAAAAAAGGGCACAAAAAAACTTCAAATGCTACGTATTACAGGGGTGTGAGTGGCCACTTAAAATTAAAGCTGAAAACAACCAACAAAAAGCTGAAATGTAAAAATTTTTCATACTTTTGTACAGACCAGGTGTACATAAAAGCTGAATTCTCACACCTCTGGTGCTAAATAGCTCGAGATTCAACACATCAGATGTGAACGCCCCCCTTACTTTTTTCCACACCCTCGCAATTTTCGGATTTTGGTCATGCAGATTTGTGCCGCCAGTATGCACAACACTGACAGCTTTCAAATCTGACGTTAATCGATACCTGTGAGTAGGAGAACTCAAGGCCAGTGATGGAGAAAAAGATCTCCCCAATGGTGATGATAATGTACTGTGGGATTTGCAGGAACATGGAGACTGAGTTGGGTTCCACATCAATGTGCAAATTCACATAGATCTGAAACAAAAATAGTACAAATATATGAAAAGCCAAATACAATCACCGACAGCAACTGTCAGAATGTGTTCTTTCAGGTAAAAGTAGCTGAACAGGGGAACTTGTTTAACATATCACTGAATGCAATCTCAAATGTCAAACAATGTAGAGAGATTACAGAGAGTAGCCTTAGCTCAAATAGAGTTCAGCATTGGGGAAAAAATTGGGTAGAAAGTGAATAAATGTTCAAACTGAATTTACTTCAAGCCTTACGACTTTGCAGTGATTGCAATATTATCATTCGACAACAAAACAAAAACCAAAATCTGAACAAAACCCGTCTATTGGAAATCGGTGGGATTGCGATCTTGCTCTTCAGAAATAGCCTTGTTCTGTTTCCAAGGCAATTTTATTCACTTCAATCTCTGCTGAAACTACTACAATTTTGAAATAAACAGAAAAAAGGAAAAACCCTACAGGCTCTGTTTTGACTTTCTGACAAGTTCTCTCCCTCTTGGAATAGATGACACAAGGTATACCTTAAAATCCAAAAAAACTCCTGTGTGTTTCAGGAAGCGCAGGACAGCACAGAGCCTACTGATAGTTCCAATGTCACCAAAACTTTTTCAAAACTGTCTACAATTGGTGGAATCCATACCGCGCCTTCAGTCTGATTGTAAGGCTGTAGAACCATTCGGTACACCGCTCCCGTCTTGATGTCAACTGTCTTCAGAGGCTTGGTAGAAGGATCGTTGATATCTCCATCAATGTATACGTCATAGCTGCAAAAGAATAATTCATATTTTAGGCAGTTTAACTTCAACAGCAAACTTAAAAATATTTTCTGTAATACCACCTTGAATTATAAAAGAATGAATCATACCAAATATTATGGGTTATGGGGTTAGCTGTGAAAAATAAATATCAACAAACAACATTTCTAAATGTCTTATATCTTTAATAGGGCCACTTCTGAGCATCAAAAAACAAACACACTTGATAACTTAAAAGCGACATGAACAACATGAAATCATGACGGTATTTTCTTGAAGCTAAACCTAGCCTGTAGGTATGCCTTACAAATCAAATGATACAAGACATAAACGAGGGACACGGTAAAACAGACTTCAACAAACCTGGCTGGCTCAATGGCTTTGAAGTCAGTGATGTTGTACAGCCCTGAATCAAACGCGTACTGATTGTCGTCTCCTTTGAGAATGACGCTGGTATTGTCTGGCAGCTCAGAGGGGCTGATAAAAATGCCAACACTAGGGACACAAAGGCAGATGGCTGACGTTAAGCAAGGTGGATCCGGAACCAAAATCTTTTTGGGGGGGAGGGGTGGGCAGGAACCTTGGTTTTTTTTGGGGGGGGGCCCAAAGAGTTGTAAATTTTTTCATAAAACCTTTCAGAGTGGGTAAGACTACATTTTGGGGCTCTTTACAAGCTTTGGGAAAAAGAGAAATGAAATAGAGCCCCCTAAAACAATCACCTTTTTATAAATTTTGTTCTTTACAATTTTCTTATTTGGGAGGGAGAGACTACCCCCTCTACTCCTGACGCAGAGATGCCAACTTTTCAAAATAAAAAAGTGTAATCCTATAGCACCATACTGAATTGCCTAATATAGATTTCAACAGAAATACATTTAAAACCTATGAAAGTCATGATAGTAAAGGCCAAAGAATAGTTCTGCTTCTGGTTTCCCAACCGACCCTAATTTTGCTTTTGTCCTCATTCAATCACCACAAAATATTGATCCCAAAAAAATCCCAACCTACCAACCATATTTTTGAGAGGCATGTAATAAAAAGCAAAGCTATTGTTTTCTTGGCCTAACATGTATTTTTTCATTTTAATGTGATCTCGTAAGATTCGACATGGGCAATTTTTTTTCATGTCACAGTTACATACGTTGCAAAACACATAAGCATCTCCACAATGAGATTTAGACAAGTAATAAAGGCCAATTTTTTGGTGTAATCGTCCCCGAACTTGCAATAATCGTGCAAAACAAGTCCAGCTGCTAACCAAAAACCCAAGAATCAAATCTTTGATAGTCTTCCACACAGGTCAATGTTTGCATAATCATGATGTTCAAGACGGTAACGCACATGTATAGCAATATCGATGTACATGTACATTGCATGGACGTACACAATCACGTTGCAAATGAAGTGCAATCGTGCCTGTTCGCCCTCAATTCATTATAGCATTAATTGATGCGTGAGGATGGTTCGACCTTGCTGGTTTCCAATGCTACTTGCACGCCTGTTATGCACAAACTATGGAATGCCAGTGACACATTTCTGATGTGGACATTACAAGGCCGGCTACGGGCTAGCTTACATAGAGTTGTATACACAACTGCACACTTTTGTACCTTGGAGTTAGAAATTCCTTCCCACATTAAGTGTGGGTCGGGTCTACTAGAGGATACCTACCCAAATAGTCACTACATATGCAAATTTCCCATGCGCATATTATTCATTCGCTGAAAAGATTTGATCACCTGTGGTGCACCCTGACCTCCCACAATGCAGCGCTGCCTCGCCACCATGATCATCCTTCTTTTCAAAAGCAACTCAAAAGGTCGGAGTCAGAGTGGGGAGGACGGGCGGGAGAGGGCTGTTTGGGTAGGTACTGGTATTCTCTAGTAGACCCGACCCACACTTAATGTGGGAAACGAGTCTAGGGTGCTCTACCTACCCAAACTGTCACTACTTATGCAGAGCAGCACTGGTCTAGGTGGGGGGTTGGCAACAACAGATCTAATGCCGAGAATACACTTTTACATATAAACAAGGACGAATGTATAAATTTTAAAAATAGAAAAGGAACTTCATAATGACTGTCGTCCATCCTATCAGTTTAGTCAGGTACTACTTCAGGACATAAACAGGTCCCTAAAGTTTATCCGCATCTCCAGGATGTAAGGAGGTGGACAGTGTAAAGAAATCAGACGGATCCAGTGAGGGAGTCTGATCCTTCGTCAGGAAGCCAATCGAAGGAATGACGTGAACACCATATGGCTACCAACGTAATTGGCCTTTAGAAATGGGGAGAGCCTATAGTTTGCTGCCTCCTCAGGACGTAATCATTTTCAGGAGAAAGGCCAACCTGAGACGGGTTTGCGTAAGGCAGGCATCATTTAAGGTTCAAAGGAAGGACCGGAAACCATCTAGAGAACATAGCTTAGGTCTTTTGACCAGACCAATTTCCCAACAAGGGGACACTGGATAAGCATATCATACAAAAGGTGATGGAATGTCATGTTGTTAAGGGCAGTTGAACCTATTTTGAAACCAACGTGCATGGCAGCTGGGGCTGACCTGTAGATATGAGTTGTAGATACTTGTAGCTCCGAGTGAAAGAAGTACATGAGAAAGTCAGTTATGGCACTCACAGGAGCATTAGGCTAGAGCCAAAGCCTGACTGTCGACGCACATAACAAATTGCTAAAATCTGCTGTCACAACTTTGAAAGGTGGGCAGATGATGGGCATGGCTGTAGCATTGCTGGAAAGTCCCATCAAAGAGGAAGATCATGGGAAGTTGAGCGTTGTTCAAGAAAACAAAGAGATTCATGTAAGGCTGCTCTATCATCCCAGGGGGAGTGCGTCCGCCACTACGTTGTTGGACCCTGCCATGTGGATCTTACAGATCAACTGCTGATCCCTTGTCCTTTCTGTTAATGTGGCCTTGGTTGACAGTGTGGGAAGAAAAAGAGGCAAGAAAGCCGCAAGACATACTCAAAGACGGAGATGACATTATCATTCAGAGCCTCTAGCATGACTGTAGTGAGGTCTGGGCAGAAAGGAGAACTCTTCTTTGCCATCAAAGAAATTTACCTCGATAAGAGGGGAAGAAATGAAATAGGTCAGGGACTAAGACAAAGACTTCATGTAACCTAGATAAAGTTGGTGTCAGTCTTTATCGAGCAAGGTGTTCCTAACAAAAAGGATTGCTAAATCAAATGCATAAAGTTGTCTTTAGTAGCAGTGTACAACACCTGAATATGCGGAAGGGTGTTGAAAACGTCTATGTCAAATTGAAGGTAAACCGTGTTCTGTGCCTGGTGTGGCCGCCGGCTCCCCGACTGTGTCGGAAAACTTTTATCATTTTCATGCATGCGCGAAAAATAAATGGCCTGCGTAGAGGAATCAGGCTGCATGACATTTGTGAGGTCGTGCTACATGGTGGGAGGTCAGGGTGCATCACAGGTGATCAAATCTTTTCAGCAAAAGAATAATACACGCATGGGAAATTTGCATATTTAGTGACTGTTTGGGTAGGTAGAGCGCCGTAGACCATAAAAATCTTATTCTGGATCGTATTCATAAATGGACTAAACAAATGCCGCCTAAATGGTACAAGTTGGCATCTCTGCAGAGATACTAATGGTAACATTGGCATTCAAATGCGATTCTGAACCAAAAGGGCAATTTACGTGGATATCATCCTTGGAAATTTCTGACTTCAAAACTTTCAGGCCAATTTGCAGTGGATTTCAGAGTGATCTTGGGGAACATCATGTACATGTCACAAAGAACAAGCATCTTCTATTTCTGTATAGGATACTACTTGCAAAATACAACAAATGTACACAAATCTCCATGGGGGTCAACAGGGGAGTTCAACATAATACAATATTTAATAAGGAAACAAATACGTGCTTATCCAGTCTCAAATGTTCATTTCCTGAGCCGGTCTTAAGACCGGCCAAGCACGTATTTATATTCCATTCATAAATACCTTTTGAGTCAGACAGTCGAAAACAAGTTCACAAATTACACACAAATTTCCAACGATTTTGTTGAAACAATTTTACTTTTGGGAAAACACCCCTCTAGCCATGTAATGGTATGTGCCTGTCACAAGTAGTTATATTCCGGTCTCCAGATGTGGAGCTAGGTGTGTGCATGGCGGGTGCTGAAAACAGCCGTTGCTTTATTACTCGCTTAAAGAACAACCATGTGGCAGGCTCTTGACCAATAGGAACGGCCAAACTGTCTTAGGTATTTATGAATGTCTCATAAGAATGGAACAATTAGTGTAAATACTTGGTACATTTTTTTAAGCCATGTGGGTGTCAATACTTCTTCAAAATAGACCTTATTCGTGGGGACGTCATTTTGATTATGTTCCAAGAATTACAATCAAAATCACTGTATTCACTGTAATCTGTTAAACAGGGTGGTACCAGACTAATAGGTTTCTTGCCTTACATTTTTTTGCAGATTTAATTAATCACAATATTAGATATAACTAATCACAAATTTTGAATTCTTCACCTGCATAAATGACATTAATTTGTAATGACATTTTATTTCAGAGCTTGATTTTTATTCTGTGGTGCCAAAATTTTAAGTTAACCCCACTTCAATATCAACTTGTGAATAATTATTTGAGCCTTACCTGACCAATGCCTGGCCTTTGCGGGGTTTCTCAAGGTGAGCTTCTGCCTATGGATAAGCCAATGGAAATACAAGATGGTTGAATTCGTAGTCCCAAGATCAGACAGTTAAAGCAAGCTCCACAATATACCACTGCTTAGAACAACTATTTCAACACTTACTAATTGGTATCAGTGCTAAAACTGAATAGAGGTGTCTGAAGAAATGTCTAGTATCTTGTCTCTCTCTTTCTACACAATCTCTCACAGTGGTGCCACTGGCTGTTCCATGTTTAAAAAGTAATGTTTCTGCAAGTGAAGTTTTATGCTTTACAATAAAATCACTTGATTTTACTCACGACTACAAATGCTTGAAGAAACCTCTACTTGAATTCAGACAAAGTTGGCGAAAAGCTCAGGGCTCCAATTTGTATTTGGGGAAAGTTTTGTTTTTTGGGGGTGTTTCAAAGAATGAGAGAAGTGACCATGGCTTTGTTTCATATGTTTTCTGCGTGACAATGCTTGCGTAAAATTGCAACAATTGCTTGTTCAAGTTCCAGTGAGAGTTTATACCTGAATTGCACTCAGTATGCCATTTTGGCTGAATACTATAATGTCGTCCCCTTCCTCTCCACGTACAGTGACCGTGAATGGTGGACTGTCACTTATGCCGGGACAGTTTGTGCTGAACATGGCTTCGTAGTCTCCCTTAGGAAAGGTGACTGGCTTGGAGGCCTAAACAAACCAACAGGAAAAAAAGGGAAATATATATAATGCTACCTCTTATGATTCAATACAAAATCACATTACATGTACATGATAGGGCTGTGTCGACTATTCAAATAGTTGGATTTTCAATCAATTATCAAATGTTCAACAATTCCTTTTTGAAATTGAATATCTGGAGGTGATATCAATGAAATAAAGAGAGAAATATTCAGTTACAAATTTGCAGTTTGAAAATGTATTTCAAGGTGCTGTGAGTTACCGCTGCAGGCAACTGATGCAGGTGCCCAACAATGAGGCTAAAACTTACTTTCCCTTCAAGCATTTACTTTCAAGTATCTATGTGTCAAATCGGCTGGGCCAGGAGAATACGTCTCAAACTAAGAACTGGTTCCTAGCCTCCTTTAATGAGGGAACAGAAATCCGTTCTGAAGTTCAACAAGGTAGACCACCACCCAGACAGGCATACATGTAGTTTGTATCTGCTTTCGTCAGACTCAAATATTCAAATGAATGGAAGGTCTAATATTCAACTATTTTACCAATCGACTCAGCCTTGTTACATAAATCACAACATAAAAGGATGCCAGGCATAACGGTCAGTTTGACACTTCTCCTAGAAAGCCCATGCCAAGCATGGATAGAGGAGAGATTGAAAAGGCACGTCTTTATTAACAACAACAGACAAGGCTCTCGTGTCAGATGGGAAGAATGCATGTTCCTATATGTACACTCCTATTGTATTTCCATGTCCACACTTTTTTCCAACATGCATATTTCACGTGTAGTACAGTGTGTCAATATCATGATGTAAGATGCTGGATTAAACTATCAACTTTTACTCTTGTTACGGCCATTGCCATTCTTTCTAAACATTTTTGAGGGGGTCATTCATGTCACATCGTTGGTTGCCTAAATCACTTTATCTGTAAGCATTCTTTTCATATGAGTGTGCTCATTTTGAAAAAAAAATCAGTGTTTGTCCAAGTGAGGTAATTTTACCATGCCAAAGGGTATATTTCCTTTGAAGAATTCACTCTGTACACTGATGTCGCATGGAATAGCATTGATGACCTTCAGAATACCCTCTGACTGCCCTGGTAGGGCCACCTCAGATGCCTGCAAGAAAAGTCAGCAGATTGTCATGTTATCAGAAATGATGTCAACTCTAAAACATTTCAATTCCCATCACACTGCCAACAAATACATGACAAAGTATGGTATACAACAGTGGAAGAGAATGAAGTATTCCAATGATAGAAGGCACTGAGGTAATATCTTGAAAACTGGTATGTGAACGAAAATACCTTTCAAGCAAGTAAGTGCTTTTTGAGAAAAAAAAAACGGAACTTGGCCTGTTCTTCTGGAATTAGTTTTTCTTTTTCACACAATAGCAACCACTCTGACATGTCGCCATTCCACCTCTCAAAAAAAAATGAACATTTCCTTTCTGATTAATCTGATCCCTGAGGTTTTACTGAAATTTTGCTTCGTCAGCAATTCAAAATCTGGCACAATCCACTCCGAGCAGGAACAAAAAATAGCCCATGATGCACTGAGCATGCGCAACAAATTTCTCTTGAAATGTAAGGTCTCAGCATTTGCACGGTGTGTCAAGTTGAAATTTCTCCAACCTGCCTGTTTCTTCTTCATCACCACTGGGGTGTTTGAGTCAGCGTAGATGACACATGATTTTGTCAGTGCGAAAACCAAAAATTTGACCTTTGTCCAAGAAGCCTGAGGACTAGATACCTAATCAGAATCTACTCTCTACTCACATCGATCCGTAACTGGTTGAAGCCCGCCACAACGAACGCCGCCCCACCTAGCATCATGCCAACTGTCATGCGCTGCAGGGGACGGAAGGGAATCTTGAGCTTGCGCAGCAGAGGGTAGAGCAGCATCTCAGTCACCGGTATTAAGATAATGATTAGCACGGGGTTGAAGGCTTGCATCTGATCTGGCTTGATTCTTATGGAACCCTGACAGGATCAGAACAGCATGTAGGCATATTTCAAAAACATGACGGCAAGTGTATTGTGGTTACCATTAATTCTCAAAGGTTGGATATCGAGGTGTAATTTGAGGGTTTCAACCTACTCCCTGGATCTATGATTTTTGGGATACCTTTGGGCTAAAATTGATGGAAACCTTTGTGCTGAGAGGCATACTTTCACAAAAGAATTCTGTGAAGGAACTGGAAACAGCACAGCATGGAGTGATATTTCATGAGTGCACCTAGGTGCATGTCTGCCACAAATATCACTAATAATGAACAGTACTGATAGAGCACCTGTATCTAAATATGTTCAAAAAGCTACATCATTCTTACCCCGCTCATTGGGCCCACAAACATTCCTAAAACCATCTTAGCTCCTCAGGGAGTATGCAGCTTGATGCTGCCATTTTAGGTACAGCGACGAATCAAACACAAAAACCAGAGAGGCAAGTGGGAGTAAAGTGATTTGCCTGAGCCAACGGATTCAAACGCCCCAACCCACGTTCAGGAACTACAAACCCTCACCACTTGGCCATACATGTACATCTCCACCTCTACAGAACACCCAGAAAAAATGTTTTTGTTTAACTGATGCTATACAATTTTGAGCATCTCTGCACGAGAGCACACAAACCAAATGGAACTGCAAAAAGTACACCATGTGGGCATACCAAGGTGCCATCCATATGCTCGGCTTGGAGGGTCCACCGGGACCCTTGCTGATCAAACAGGGACCAGAAGATGGGCAGGGGCAGGAACATCTTCAAGACGTGGTACAGATCCTTGATGTCAGTGATGAGTTTGGACTGAGCCAGCAGTGTGGGGAGAGAAAAATAAACACTGAGGGGTAATGCACTGGAGGGGAGTGACAGTGGCATAGAGGGATACAATGATAGTGAGAGATGAGGGAACAAGAAAAATGTGTGATTGTAAATTGAGGTGCAACTGTGGTGTTTATGGTAACCCACTGCAGCTGGAACTGAAAAAGAAGAGTAATCAAATAAGCAGCAAACGAACAAACATTTTAACACTGTTGCCACTATGACAAATGTTGGGTTTCATTTTTTTCACATCTGCTCAAATAGTGAACTGCAACAAATCTGAGTTCATTTCTGTGATGCATAAATGCAGTGTTAGAGCAATGATGTCTGATTTGTTACACAAGCAAATAAATTTTAACAACTTCACGGATCATCACTCACCATTTGAGACGTGCGTACTAAAAAGGCAACAAAACTGAACTCATTCGGTACTGATCTGTATCAGGGTTTATTTAAATTCTCCAGGAAAATCGACAGGAAAATTAAATCAACCTGTGATGACTATTACAATATCCAATACGATATGTTTTTTAATGCTCTATATATTGGTCGAGATGGAGGTTGGGGTTTTCTCATGCAGAAACTGGAGAAATGCTTTGATAATTGATCACCATTGGCATCATCAAATGCACAATAAATGGCAGGTAACAAAGCACTTGTGTGATTTTAAACAAAAATTCATACAAGATCTCCAGAATTGATAAAGAAACAGCCCTCTCTGTAACTCACGTCATATTTGTCATCTGCCCAGTCCATCCAGTGGTCTTTCCTCAAGCCACTATGTCGATGCTGAAATCTGTTCTTCAGGGCATACTGGAGGGACAAAGAAACGGCATGGCAATGTAAAGGGTTCAGAGCTAGAACCTTGGGAAGTTTCATAAGGAAATAAAAGTGTTAATTACGGAGTGTCTGAAACTAGTATGCTTAAAACTAGCGAGGGGCCTGCAAATGACAATGGACCAAGCCAAACGCCCCTAGCCACTTTTGAATGCAGTAATTTATAGGCCAATTCATACTTGGTGGATATTTTGTCGATGGTCTCTCCTTAACTGTTCCTCATCCTTTTGTTATGGATTCCCCTGACTCCAAATTGACTTCAAACCTATTTTTCAGACAAGGGAAACCCTGGGTGAACCTGGTACATGTATTAGTCCACATGAGGTTCACACAACCTGCTTTATGTGGACCCACTGTGTTCTCAGGCCCACAAAAAGATGGCAAGGTTGAGACACTGCAAAATGGTAGGGTAGTTTCCAACAAGAAAAGGTACTGAGTAAGGAAGTGTCTTAAGCTTAAAGCACATCTATACACCTAGATTCATAGTAACCTGCTAATCATTCAATAGGCAGCACGAGGGAGATGTGACACACCCACTGCAGGTGGATTTGGGGTGGGGTACCACACACACAAACTAGTAAGAGGCTGGGGTTACAATCTGGCTTTTTCAGACTGCAGCTTTTTCTTGCAGCCAAATTTGAGAGGGTACATCGCCTCCAGACTCCTCAATGTTTTCTTCCAATGAAGCAGTTCTAATTGAGAAAATGATGTCATCAATGAATTCTGACTTACAAACGTTGCCTTGACAACTTCCCACACCACGTTGCCACTTGGGGGGAAAACTTTGTAAAAGTAACGTCCACTAAAAAAAATAACTGTGAAGAAAGAAAAGAGATCATTACAAAGAAGTCAACTATTAATCTCACCCACACTTAGCTGTTCAAAAAACATTTTTTTCTCCTACTTGTATTGATTACTTACAAACTGCCACAAACATCAGGAGGGCTGGCACTCCAAAGGCTAGCGCGTAGCAATCGTTGCCAAAGCACTGTGCATCATGGCGTAGTATTGGCGTGAGGAAAGTGGAAATGACGCTACCCGCATTGATGGAGAAATAGAAGACTGAGAAGAACTTGGCAATGTGCTCCTCCTGTGTGAAAGCAAGCCAGAATTGTCTACATGTACATTAACCACTTCATCATGCTGCATGAAGTGTAGACATACTGTACAGGGATTTCCTGTGTTTTAAGACTGAGGACGTTTAAACCTGTTCCTTAGATTTTGGCATGCAGCGTTGGGTGAAGTCCATATTCGTTCGCATGCTTGAATAATTTCCACTATTAAGTGCATAAACAGGTTCAAACTAGTCCATGGAGGTTAAGCATATACATGCGGAGCGTTCAAGCAGCTGTGGGGGAAACACCTGAATTCTATAGCAAATACCTTTCTGCAACATTGTCTTGCAGTTTCAAAAAGCGACAATGCAGTCACAGCTATTGTAACGACCACCAACGGTGACCACTGGTACTGGTAAGGTCCAACTTTGCAAAATACTGAGGTTGTGGTATCTTGTCATTTTAAAAAGTCGATATTTTCACCCAAAAATAAGACTCCACCTGGGACAAATTCATTGTGAAACAATACCACTGGCAGTGGTTAAGGCAAGCAAATGAAAGATGATAAGCTGGGTTCAGATTTCGTACAAATGCACAAATTACATGAATGCGGAACAAATTTAACATGACTTTCACAGCATGGCCTTGATTTCACAAATTCAAGCATACATTGACACTCGAGCACTGAATGTGACCTGTCCGCACATCCCAGTACTCAGGAATCCTATCATGAATGAAATGAATAGCATTTGGTTTTCATTCATTTCCAAGTTATTTTCTGAACTCTCAGTTAGAAATACAAGGCAGAGAGATTCTAACGTCTTTTCCTTGAACCTTCACACTGCACCACACTCTCAAATATTGATAATTATTTTATGGTGGTGATTCAGGGCAAAGTGCACGCTTCCTATGCACATTCGTACATGAAGTAATCACGTTATGCAGCCCAGATAATCCATTTGGCACTGTAAGCACTGCGCCTAGGATGCATGAAAAGCTTCAAGTGCCTTGGAAAAATTTGACGGCTTAAAAAAATTACCAGATTGTACCGTAACCGTGCATACCACTGCAAATGTTAGGACAGTTCTAAAAGTGTTATTGTCTCTCTGTGAATGGTCAACGTTTAGAATGCTTCAAACTATTCTCTACCGGTACATAGCTTTGAACAGCTTAGCATCAAAATGACATGAAAAGCTGGAACCCTAACCAGCTCTATGAAATTTGTGATGGTACCTGCGTACATGTACATGCAGTATGCACATATGGCTGACAATGAGGACACTAGTGCATGTCATGTGCCCTTTTGGGAACATGAATGACCAGAAAACAACTTTGGCCTCGAGAAATAGAACCACCGTCTGGTCACTCACAGGCCTGCGGGGGACACAGAAGTGCAAGAGTGACCTCACAGCCTGTCCATATCTGCTTGACAACATACATGTACCTTCTGTCCAACATGTAAAACAGAAAAGAAAGGGTTTATGGATGCCCTGTTATTACTAAACCCTAACTCATAAACAATTCAACACACAATTTAACTATTACAGGGGAATGCTTGTACATGTAGGCTCCTTACGGTTTATGAGTTGCTGTTCACTATTGTCATGTACATGGAAGGACGCCAGAACCGGGCAAAATGTTACGGTGCCAGATTGACCACTTTACTGTGGAATGCCTGTGCGATGTCTTGGCATGCCTCCAAATCATGCTGATGTATATTTCATGCACTATTTAGTGACCCTCATGTGACTGTGTTTCAGCCAACCAGAATTGAGAACCAGCAAGAAGTGTGTTCTAAGGCAGGCTAAAGCCCACAAAGCACTGGCGCCCAGGGCCTACAGGACACTTGATACAGCACTGATCTTATGAGACTGATCTTTGTGACATTAAGAGCCATGTGACAATGTGTCTCGACACCTGCATCACTCGGGCAATGCTAGACAAACACAAATGACCTTTCAGTGGCGAGATAAACCTGAGAAAAACATCTCACTTCACATGCTGGTTTTTTGCTTATCTTAACAGCAACAGGAGCCTACCTGGTCGGCAGAAAACTGATCTCCACCGAAGGCTGATACACACGGCTTAATCCCACCAGTGCCCAAGGCAATGAAGAAAAGGCCAAATAATGGGCCGATGCTAAGGCAACGAATACAGTGAGAAAGAAGTACAATTAATCCTGCGATCTGGATGACAGTCAACAAAAAACAACAGATTGAACTACAACACAGTTCGGGACTGAAACCTGTTTTCAAAACATATTTGAGGGAGAAAAATGTGAAACAGCAAATGAAACAGCTTAGCGGTATGGTATAACGAATTATGCTAAACAGGAATTTGATGTTTACAAAATTCATTTCAAAGCACGTATGGCAGTATGGCTTATGATGTCCGAATAACAGGCTAGCCAGAAGTTCTTACAATGTACGGTACCAGTATGAAACAGAAACAATGAGTGAAAAAGTACTGTAAAATGGCAACAGACATTTTCTAGTCATGGAATGCACCAATTTTTGCTTTTGCAAATCTGATTTTCTAAAATCCTGTAACTTTAAACATGAGCATGAAATTAGACCGAGAGCGTGACCAGACAAACTGTACTAGCACAGTCAATGTTGTTCCATCGTTACCACCTTCTGATCAGACATTTCCCAATGTCAAATGGGAACACACTCTTACTGCTTAGCCTTTGTCGTGCGCACAAAATCAGAGCGAAACCATAAACAGTATTTTGCTTTTGGGACTTTCACCTGGACACATACATGTATTTCCTCCAGTCAATTTGATTGACCACATCTGCTCTGGGTGGGACAAATACCAAAAGCGGTGGGAAAATGTCCAGTGTCCCATCATAATCGCATGCTCTGTACTTGCATGCTGCTTTTTCTCTACCGCTCTTCTCTGATGAATGTGCATGCACAGTGTATGTGTAAATGTCAAAACAGATTTGAAGCAATTTACACACAACAAGCATCATCACAGTATTTGAATCACTGTCAGGGCCAGAGACCCATTGCACCGATACATGTATACACATACATGAATGTGCATGTACATGTAGACTGGTTACATTGTCAATGTACATGTACATCATCCTATTACATGAAAATTCTCTACATGACCAAAAAATTTACCACAAACTGGGCGGAGAGAAAGAGGGTGTTACAACCTACTTGAAATTTTTTCATCAACTTTTCCCCTGCCATAAAATCTTACAGGGACGGCTAGTCAATTGAAAATTCATTTGCCGACATTCAGAATAATTACTGCGTGCAATCTTTGCTGGTAGTTAGTACATGTAGATATAATTGAAATTCGTAGCAAAAATTTGTAGTTAAAAGTGCCCTTTAGGTATTTAAATTGAAGTTCTTCTGGAGACAGAAAAGAGGAATTTTCATTAAAATATGCGTGATGGAATACATGGATGAGTGACAGAGCATAAACTTCAATAAATACGGTTCCAAGGCACTGAGTACAAGGTCATGTACGCATACCACTAGAACTGAAAACCTGTGTATGGTGTATCTAACTATCTCATTCACAAAAATCCTTTTTTATAGTTTCTTTGGAAGATTATCCACAAATGGTGGAGATATGTCTAGGATTACAATGTATAGTTCACTTTGGAAAGCAGAACAGTCTCTGAATAATCACGTGATTTACTGTAGCTTTTGTAACATTTTGACAAGTTTTGCTGTCAAGAGAGATCAAAGCAGGCAAGTCTTTTATTTTTACAATTTGTTTATTTTTAGGTCCCTCCAGTCGTTTCATTTTACAGTTCCATGTACATCTGTTACTTGTAAGCTACCCTGGTATAACAAACGTAAAGGTCGACTAACACTGAAGAGCAATACCGGTAACTGAATCAGACATGCCAAGGAAATTCCAATCTTTGCAAGACTTTATCCTGTGCTTTTCAATGGCATGAGTGTACAGTGAAAAACAAGGAAATCAACTGATCCGAAGAAAAGTTGCATGCCTGCTGAACGCAATGATGGAAAATAGTATGCAGAGCAATGATTTACAAGTACATTAACACACAAGGCAGAAACCTTTTTACATTTCAGTCATGGACTCTCCGTAATTAAAATAGCACCCACACAGGAAGAACTGAATGAGTGATGAGAACGGAGCATGCATCCATGCAAGTACATATATGTCCGTCAGAATGCACTGTCTTGGCATGACATCGTTTCCATTCTCATTATACATGTATATAATCCCCTACAGGTTCAATTTCCAGGGTTCCCTCAGAAATCTGACAAACATATATGTATTCTGTGACTTTTCCAGCACCAAAATATGACAATTTCCACAACATTTAATACCACTCTGAAGAGAAGCATTGTATTTTGAACCTTAGATGATCTACTTCTCCGTAGCAAAGAGAAATACTGCACATTCTCACACCCATCCACCCTGTTCCAATCTAATAAGCACAGCCAGACTTACAGCTCGGGAGATCCTGTTGTCTGAGGTGGCAAAGCTGTTAGACACATAATCACGTTGCCAACCATGTATATCTGTGAGACATACAGGATAGTCCTGGACAGAAACAAGAATAGAAGATAGTCACAAAAAACTGTTTGTTTTTTGTGTACGTCAGTTTGGCACAGTAAATATAATCTTGACTTCAAACTTTTTTTTTCTAATTCAAATCCAGAGTTATTTAAGCACTGCCAACTGCAGAGAAAAGTGATGATTGACGAAGTACTTTGGACAGGTCTCTGCATATATCAGAGTGTGTAAATCAAACTTCTATGTTTGTGTAAATTTGCACATCATCTGCTCCAGGTGTCATTAACCCCTTCACGCCGGGAAGCGGCTATAGCCACTGTAAAAATTGAGATCCTCAGCCCGCTTTTCAGCTATTATTCTCGGCCCACGCTCAAGAACACGGTGAAAGAAGGGTGAATAGAGCCTTCTCGTATATATGTATGTACATGTACACGTAGGTGTTTAAAACTTTACTTATTGTTTTTCTGACAAAGATAATCTGGGATTGCTATTTTTGCACAGTAAGATATTCACTAAGAAAAAAAAGAAAAATTTGCCCTAAATTGTGTACAAAAAATGACTGAGGAAGCTGAGGATTAATATACATGTAAATGCAGACCATAAATATCTGACATTATGAGTGTTCCTATTACTGGGGGAGACGTACACAAACATTTTAAATATTGCTCTGGCTTTTTGATTGCATAATTTCAGGTGAACATGTTCCATTTACATTTGAAAAAAATAATGAACTCACGAAGCCCTTGTGGAAAAAAATCTTTGCCCTCAAGGCTTTAGGAACTTGCAGATAAGAAAAAATTGATTGGACACTGCAGCCAATGTTAAAAATGTAATTTGACTGTGACTTACATGTATACATGTATGATTGTTGGGAATATCGTTAAATGGCCCACCAAGGTTTATGGAAGCCCAGTGGCATTTTATGTTTCTATTAAAGTAGACCATGTTATAATTTACTGATGTTACTACTGCACTCTCTAAAACTGAAACAAGACTACAGGCAGTCAGGTTGACTTAAAATAAGTGGAATAGTCTTTTTGGGAAAGGGAACTGCATGTGCATGCAGTTTATCAAGTAGGGGCTGGAGACAAAGTGTTTGAGTGCTAAGCATGTACATGTAGGTGTGGTGTACTTTGATGTAATCTTTCCCAATATTGCGGACAGCACATTAGAAGAACCAGCGCTGACAGAAATAAATGATAACACAGAGGGTTTGCATTGCTGCCATCTTGCAAGCCTGGTGCTTTTGTTTCACAGGGTATGCACCAAGGAGGTTTCCCCTAGAAACAAAAGAACTATCCTGCAAGATGGCTACCACGCAATGAGTCTATAGTACCAGTAACTTGTCCAGTGTTGAGATGATAGTACACACTCAACCCTAAACCCACAACAAAACTCAAAGCCCGCATATTTGGATCAAACATGTAACATGTACAGCCACTGAAAAAATGTAGATGATGTTACATCAGAAGGTATGGGAACTTGCAGATAAGATAAGAAGGTATGCCGTACATATCATTGATCCCAG